CCTCAGCACCTGGAGCGAGGAAGAGAGGCGGGGGGGGGAGCGGGGCAGTGCGGTAGGGGAAGAGGCGGTAGAAGGGGACGGACTCGTCAAAAGTGACGTCCTGAGAGGCCAGAACCCGGCGCGAGGTGACGTGGTAAAACTGCCAACCAGGCGCGTCGGGAACAAAGCCAAGAAAGACACAGGGAACAGCGCGACGCGAGAGCTTGTCCGCGGACGTGTCGCGGACAAAAGCTCGAGATCCCCAGACCCGGAAACGCGACGCATCGCCAACCTCTCCCGTCCACCGTAGAGTCGGGGAAGTCTCCGGCAAGGAGACACGGGGCCAGAGGTTGAGCTGATGCGCTGCGTACCGGACCGCAAACGGCCACAGAAAGTGGGGAGCAGCCGCATGGGTCAGGGAGGTACGAGCGACCTCCATGACCAAGCCAATGCGGCGCTCAGCGACCCCATTCTGCTGTGGAGAGGCCGGAAGCGTGAACGACTGCTCAATGCCGTGCTCAGCACAGTAGGCTGCCAAGAGGTCGGAGGCGAACTCACCACCCCTGTCAGAGTGCAAGCGCAGGACAGGAAAGTCCGAGTGAAAGCGCTTGGCTAGCTGGAGACGGGCTCGGCTGATCCAGGGGATCAAAACACCAGGGACGTCACCCTTGGCGCGCAAGGGGAAGACCGTGGTGTAGCGCGAGTAGTCGTCAACAACTATCAGGAAGTACCTCTCCTGACCCTGACCACGGACGCGGGCTGGGCCCCACACGTCCATGTGGAGCGTCTGCAAGGGAGCAGTCGTCGGGGGAAAGGAGGAGGAGTGAGGAGCGGCGCGCTGCCGCCCCTCGACACAGGGAATGCAGTCAGGAGCAGGGGAGTCGGGAAGGGGAGGGAGCACCCTGGGAAGACCAGCAACAAGGTCCCGTTTGTGCATGGCCCGAAGGCGCTGCACAGACGGGTGACCAAGGCGGTGGTGCCAGAGGACAGTCTCATGCGCCAGAGAGCGACATGAGCAGGGGGCGGACAGCTGACCTGACGCAGACGCAGACGCAGCCACCTGAGGGGACTCAGTGGTCAGTGTGTACAGGTCCGACCCCGGCTCCCGAGTGAAAGTAGCCAGGTGGCGGCCCGTCCGAGCACACGTGCAATGTGTCACACGCTCGTAGGCAGGGGTGAACTGGTGAACACCCCCGTCCTGCAGAGCACAGCCCGCCACCAAGTTCGTAGAGAACGAGGGGAGGTAGAGACCTGAGAGCGTGCCGGACGGAACCGCTGGACACGGAAGTGTAGTGGAGGAGGTCGCAATGACCGGACCCCCTGAGGGGTCAGCAAGAGAGACAGCAACTGGCCGAGCAACTGGCTCAAGGACGCGGCGGCCGGCTAGGGCCTGCAGGGGCGGCGCGCGTGGCCTGACGGGTCTGCAGGGGCGGCTCTCGGGCCTGACGGGCCTGTAGCGGCGGCTCGGGGGCCTGACGGGCCTGCAGCGGCGACTCGGGTGCCTGACGTGCCTGTAGCGGCGGCTCAGGTGCCTGACAGGCCTGCAGCGACGGCTCGGTGGCCTGACGGACCTGCAGGGGCAGCTCGAGGGCGCACGAGGGCGCACGAGGGCGCACGAAGGCGCACAAGGAGAGAAAGGCGCACGAGGGCGCACGTAGGGTAGGGCGCACGAGGGCGCACGTAGGGTAGGGCGCACGAGAGCGCGTAGGCGCAAGAGGCGCACGGTAGGTAGGTAGCGGTGGGCCCTAAGAGCGGTCCTAGCGATGGACCTGCTCTGATACCATGTCAGAATAACTGAGCAGGAATGGGATGAACTAGCACAGAGTTTGGTACAAGTAGGAAACCCTAACTTTGAGTACCCCCTAAGGTGTAACCCACTACAGCCTACATAATATAAACATGCAATGTTTGACACCTTGTTCTGCCTACTATTTTGACAGTTGTGTAGGCTGTAGTGGGGTAGCCCATAAGGGGTACAACCCAAGTAGGGTTGGTACTTGTACACAGATCTTTTTTCAATGCACTCATTCTCGTTCAGTCTTCTGACAATGTGAAAGCAAGAGTAAATTGAATTCAGAGGGGGTACTAGATTAGAAATAATGGGGAACGGTGAGAAATTTGGGAACAGCAAGGGCATGAGGAGACGACCGAGAGTGATGGAGGTTGGAAAGGAATAATGAGCAACAGGGTGTCGCGTCCTAGCTAGTGCGCCCCTCCTAGCGGAGGTAGTGGAGGGCATGGCGCGCCGAGCTAAGAGGCACGTTATGGGCAGAGGAACTAGGGTAGGAGGGGCAGAAGCATCGACCAAAACTAACGATCATACAATATGAAGGAACGAGAACGGAATGGCTAGCATAAGAGGATACATTTGTATATGCATGCATGTACTCACTATGGAGCAACTCTACGTGGCCAATTAGAGACAGGATGTGCATATCCGCCGGTAGACCTTGCATCAAAATCTATTAAGAGGTTCTAAGGGCGTATCCATGTTCGGGTCATGAGCACTGTTCTGGCTACTCTTTGGGTCATGCGGAAATTGGGCATGACCCGATGTGAGCTGCCGAGCCGCGCGCGGCGCCAACTTTGGGTCAACTCGCAGGCGCTGTGCGACTGACGTGCACGACCCAGCCAGAGCCAATCACCTGGTTGCACGATTGTGGTTTTACTGCCATCTTTTTTGCGATCGTCAGTCGAGTGTCACACATGGGCAATGTCCCACGTCTTACACCTCTGCACCCAACCACTCGGCAAATTGACCCCGAGTGTGTCTAAAAATTCTCGCGTCGCGCTCCCAACATTTGAGAATCACTCCGGGAATTTTGACGGTTTTGTTTGTATGCGACTGATGTGGGGAGCTTGATTTTGGCGAAATGCACATTTTGACGAAATGTTCTGGCATCCAACCATTGGATGCGATAGTTGTGGGGAGCTTGATTTTGGCGCGAAATCCCTCGCCGCAATTTGGGGGTCGCATGACCCAAACATGCGTTTTACGATGTTTGGGTCATCCGCAAATCGCTCATGGCCGGAACAGTGCTCATGACCCGAACCTGGATACGCCCTTATCTCTTCTCTATCATGTGGGGGGGCAATTTCACAAATTGTGATGGTTGACTTGTGAGATTTTTCTTGAAGCGTCTTTTAACACAGGGAGATAAAAAATTTCGGCCAACTTCATTGATACTCAAATTATGCCTGACGCGGTTTGCAAGCGTACTCAACCGACAATTTCTCAGTATAGTAGCTACAAATACTTGTGAAGTTTGTTATAGGCACTTTTTTGAAACAAAGTCTCCACCAGCAGGTCCGCACATACCCAACAAAAAAAGGGAACATACTAACACGTGGATAAGCAAGACATAATCTGCTAATTTAACCCTAATTACGGGATATTTTCTAGTTTAGGTTTATATGCTACAACAAACAACACCGCCCAGCGGAGCTTGCTACCCGCAGCCAATTAAAAAGAACCTTCCTACTGAAAGGCATTCAGTCAGGATGGCATCAACCCTTAAACTTTGTCGCATAATGTTTAGGGTTGATGTCATCCAAAAGAGTTTTAATTTTCTTCCGTACAAGGTCAGAAGGTCCACAGTCAACGGAGGGTTGACGGTGCCGTCTATTCTGTGAAGTTATTCCTAGTCTGCATTTTGTTTTCCAACGGGTTTTAGTCTTTACTAAATTCACGTTTTATATAATTTTCTTTGTAAATGGTTGAGTATTAATTGTTTTTTTTTGTCTATTTTTAGGAAGAACCTGCACACAATATTATCTATTTATGGTCGGTCATCGCGTTCTGTTTCTGTCACATTTCGGAGGTGTTTGTATCTTGAAAAGTGTGATTGAAAAGCGAGAACCAATCAGCGATGAGAAATCGAGGTTGAGTACGCTTGCAAACCGCGTCAGGCATAATTTGAGTATCAATGAAGTTGGCCGTAAAAAAATTCTTTGTCCTTCCTGTAAAGTCAAACACGACATCGGCTCGCCCCATGTGCCTGCACCTAGCTTGTCAACTACCAATCAAGTAGTTGCACCGCAAACAAGGTACTGCCGTGATTGGTCTACTCGCGAAAGCGGACCTCATCTGCACCTTCGTGTCCCTAGCACAGCACGCGTACAGTACATTTCCATCGCTGCTTGGCCCTAGCTGGTGAGGGGAGAAAAACCCCAACCTACTAGTCGGGGCTGATCGCGGACTTCTTCCCCATATCGAGTGAATTCCGCTCCAGCACATCCAACTGAAGAATGCCCGATAGGCTGCCCAAAAAGAGCAACTTACAGAGAGAGTCAAAGTGTGCAAGACTGGCATTCTGGGATACCTCAAAGTGTGCCTTCATTGGTGTGGTAGAATATCCGTACCAACCGGTAGCTCACTGATTGTGCAATTTTAAACTCGTCTCCTGTTACGTTCTACCAGACTGCACGGGTGAATCTTGGACTTGAACCACCCTGTGCGAGATTCCAACCCGAATGAAGTGGGAGACAATTCACATTTTTCTTTGAGTCCGTACGTAGTAGTACTTAAAAAAACTAGTACCGAGGGACATTATCAAACATCTCCTTACCACTCCCACCCCACACCTACCCGCCATGAACGTTCCCCTTTTGCTCTTGGTGGGGTACGATGTGTTCAAGTTTCAGTATCACAAGTGCTGCCATGTTAGTTCTCTGGCGGATAGTACGCTCTTGAGATTCCCTCGTCCATCATATTTGTTCGTATACAGTATTCCTGCCACGAGGTGGACAAGCTTTAGTGAGGAGCGAGCTCCATCAGTCGCCATAACGACACTCGAACAACGATGGAGGCGCCACAGCAAACCCTAGTCAGGCTCAAACAGGAATGGCAGCAGGAACAATGCACTTCCAATGGCGAGGCGTTAGAGCAAGCTGGTGACAGGACGCGGGATTCCGGCCGCCATGAATTTAACAGATTTGAGGATCAGCCATGGACGTTTCCTTCAGGCACATTCAACTCGACCGTCCCATCGGAGACGAATCCGAGCATTAGCTTGGAGTTTATGAATAACCATGGCGGCGACATAAGCGATTTCCATAACCGTGGTGATATGGAGCTCGGCAGTGACGCTTCAGCAACGGCAGCGACGACGCCGACGGCGACACCAACGATTGGTGGCGAACCCCCGACGCAGCACGGCTCAACGGTTATCATGGTAAGCGGTGCCGTTGACGAGGGTGGCGACGAAATAGTTGACCAAGACCGCCCCGTTGACCTTTCTGCTTCGACTAATACTCGTCCCTCGACGATCGACCGCGTCCCGACGCCGATGTACTGTCGCCGGCAAGAAATCCCCATCACGCGACGGGTAACTGGGTTGCCCGATCTGGACGCGGATGTCCTTCTGTCTATAGCGCGTATGACGGGTCGCCCTCTCCGAACCATCGCCGTCCTCGCCTCCTGCAGCACGCGGCTCCGCCGTCTCGCCGTGACAGACCTCTGGCCCCTCTATTGTCACACCCGCGCGCAAGATCTCATCGGAGATCTTTACGCGCAGCAGGAGGAGGCGAAACGGCGGAGAAACGGCGGCGACAGCAGCGGGTCGACTCGCACGACGAGTCTTTCCAACCTAAAACTCGTCCGGTTACCAGCCGCCGCTCTTTCGCCGAAGCTTCTCAGCTACTCGCCCGGTATTCTCGAGGTGCCGTTCAGCCTGCTGAGCCCGCGAATTAAGGAGCTCGTGGAGAAAGTCGGCCAATGGTGGTCCGACGGATACTTTGACGGTGACGACGCGAGCCGTTGTTCCGATATTTTCATGGATGATCGCCGGAGGAGGAGCCCGTGGCGCATGTGTAGACGCGCCGCGGCGCGCATTGCGTGGGTGCCTGTGATTGCCGTGCTCGTGCCGGTCGTCGTCACGTATTTCGCATGCGTTTTCGCGAAGCGGACGGCGCGGACCGCGCGACGTGTGGCCGTGAGGGGAGGGAGGAGGCTGGCGAGGAGGGTTGGGGAGACGACGGTGGGGAGGGAGGGGAGGATGATGGTGTCGAGAATCAGACAGAGAATGGGATGGAGGGAGGATGAGGTGGCGGGAGGAGGAGGGGGGGGGCTTGACATTGAGGCAATTCTGAGAGGCCCGGGATACGCAGACTGGGATGGCAATGTGCGTGGAAACGGGGATGACGCAGATGATTTCGTGGAGCGTTATGGGCGCATGTGGGATGATAATGATGATGCTTATGGTGATGGTGATGGTGATTTGGATCATGCGGTTGTTGGTGTTCCTGAAGAGGAAGGTGATGATACCGGCACTCAGGTTGCTGATGGTGCTGATGGTGCTGATGGTGCTGATGGTGCTGATGGTGCTGATGGTGCCGATGGTGCTGATGGTGCCGATGGTGCTGGAGGTGCCGATGGTGCTGGTGGTGAAGGTGATGGCGATGCTGCAGAGCAACACACTCTGGAATGGTGGGAAGTGGGTGGAGGGAGAGCAGCAGCAGCGGACGAGGGAACAACAGCGGAAGAGAGAGAAGCATTCCTGGTAGCCATGGCATCGCACGTGAGGAACAAGCAAAGCCTGGGTCTCGTGGGGCACGTGGATGAGACACACCTCTTCTCCCTCTTCCTCATCTCTGACCTCTTCCCCTCCTCGCTGCTCTCCGCCTCCTCCTCTGCTGCCTTGCGCTCCTCCTTCCCGCGTTGCACTAGCGCGAGATGCCATGACGGGCATCAGGAACAGGAGCAGCAGGATACGCAGGAGCAGGAGGAGCAGGAGAAGGAGAAGGAGAACCAGGAGGAGAGGGAGGAGGAGGAGGAGGAGGAGGAGGAGGAGGAGGAGGAGGAGGAGGAGGAGGAGGAGGAGGAGGAGGAGGAGGAGGAGGAGGAGGAGGAGGAGGAGGAGGAGGAGGAGGAGGGGGAGGAGGGAGAGGAGGGGGTGGGGAAGAGTGAGGGGGAAGGGGAGGCAGGGGTGTCGTTTGCTGTGATGGAGCCATCGTCAAACATCTGGGACATCTCCATCTGCCGAGGCTTCCTCGATGCGTTCCAGCACACAGAGTATGTTGAGGATTTTAAAAAATTGAGAGTCGTTCACAGAGGCCAGTGCCGCTTGGCCTCCTTGCCTTCCCCCTGTCATGCTTGGCTGTTTCAAACCGGCTTTCTCCATCATTCCTTTTCAGAATCTTTGACAAACGTTTTTCACTTCCATCTTCCCTTCACTCTCTCCCCCCCCCGCCCTCCACACCCTCTCAACCCCTTCCCCCCACCTCCTTATGCATCTCTTTGTGACACGTGTCCCACACTTATCATTGCAATCGAATCATTGCACAACTGTGTTCCACCACCCATGTCCCCATCATCCCCCCCCACCGAATCCATCAGGTTGTATCGACAGCTGGCAGCTCGGTCTGCTGCTGCCGATGACCATGGCAAATGCCCTTTCTGCCGCTGCAAGGTAAGGCCGCTTCCTTCAAAACCACTCATTGCTGCCGCAAGCTACACCCCAGGTTTCGGGTCTTGGGTATTAGGGTCTTGGGTATTGGGCACCACTTATTCTTCAGTAAATCGGGCTAAATTCTATAGTGAGGCGATCCTTAGTGCATGCCTTGCGTGCTTGCGAGGCGCTTGTTACAAGGTATCATGCCCACGCATCAGGTTGGGTGGGATCACACTGAGCTAACAGGGTGTGGTAGTAAGATAGGCAATGAGAGGCGGTAATTTAACCGTTCCTTCATGCGCCCATGGCATGACTTGTTTTGCGTGTGCAGGTTTGGAACGCATTGGACACGCTTGCACAGATGGACCACATGCGGGCTTTAAGCTTTGCGATATGCGAGAATGTGAGTGGCCGATGCGAATGGTTCAGTGTTTTACAGTTGCAAAACTTTAGAGTAGTGAACTGCAGTGTGCTTGCCGGCTGCGTAGACCCATTCCTAGTTTATTTCCGTTTTTATTTGTCTCACACACTCTCACACACTCGTTTACGCACCCGCACATGCATGCATGCTTGCATTTGTGTCTCCCACCCTCATTCAAACATGGCTACCTCTGTCCCTCTGATCTTGCAGGGCCACTTTTGCGGATTATTTAAAGTGAGTACTACAGGGACACTGTTGCAACCATTTCACTTGCATGATTGTTTTGCACCTTTTGTTTACTCTTTTTCCGTTGTCTTCCAAGTCAACTCCTGTTTTTTGCTGCTCTTCTTACAATTTCTCCTCCCTCCGACACAAACCATTTACCCATACCCCTCTCATCATTTATCCTTGCTTGCAGGAGAGAACGTAGAATATTCTTATTCTGGAAAATAAGGCGAAACAGCATAGAGGAGATGGAGAAACACCATGTAGGGCAGAAAGTAAGAGCATGCTTTTTACTAGAAGCAGTATCAGCGTGTTTCTTCAGCCGCCTTGGCCCTCTTGCTCGGAACTCTACTTTAGCTACCGTAGGTTATAGCAGGACATGTTTACTGATAGAGACGTGTAAAAATCTGAATGTCTCTTATCTGACTAGAAGACGAGTTTCTTGCAGAGAATACAAGCTCCTAGTCTTATTCTCAAACTCAGACCTTGGTTTGCTTACCACTAACGCTATTGTTATGGCCCTGATAGCAGCTAGGTTACATCTGGTAGCCTAGGTGAGGGTTTCCTATTTGTACCCACCACTCTTCATCTAGTGCACGCATCCTGATTTTGACATGATACCATTCCTAGGTCAGGTCCGCGCCGTCACCTAGTCTATCCTGTCACATCAGTCATGAACGCCGGCCAGCGCGCACCGGCGCACACAACAGCGCGCTAGCAGTGCCCCGGCTGCACTAGCGCCTGCAACGCGCTAGATAGCAGCGCGCCGCTGGCAGGCCACCGACGTTTCCCCTACTTACAGATGCTCCTACCATTGCTCGTGTCGTTCCTAGCGCCGTCCTATCGGCTATTTTTAGTGTTAAAATATGAAATGACTATTAAGGATCGTTTCAGTTTGATCACACGTAGTCTAGCAGCGGAAGGTTTGCAAGCGATCGCCGGGTACGGACCCTGTCAGAAGGAGGAGATTTGACTCGCGACAAAGGTGACTAATATAGTGCGGTACAAGGGTTTACATACGGTAGGAATACAATGGAATACGGTACAAAAGGCCATAGCTAGTCATGTACTCTAAGGGGCACATTCCCTTAGGGCTAATCTAGATCGGGAAACCAACCGTGCGCTTCGGTAACTACACGCAGCACGGTAAAGGTTTGAAAGTTTTCCTGCACTTTGCACTTCGAATTCTTCTTGCTTGCAACCGTCTTCGATAACCGCTTGTGCCGCTCGGTCCGGTCTTCGTCCTTGCTCCAGTCATCTTTGCGGTCCAACTTGAAAACGGTTCCGAGGGGGCCAAGGTAAACACTGTTGCAAACATTCTCGTGTCTTCAGATCGAGGTTACGTGATTGGTTCCCGCCAAAGTAAAATTTCTTGCTCACATCAGGCGACGTCGCATCTCTGCGGGCTGCATCTGCACGACGATTGATTGTCGCCGGATTTCATCTCGTCGCCCAACCTCCAAGTTCAAGTTGGACCTGGGTTACACAAGCTTATTTCTGCTTTCGCGCTCACGTAGCTTGGCATAAACTAGCCAGCTGCCTACCGAGCTCAATCATTTATTCGCCAGTGTGTACACTGTCGCATAGTAGCCGGGTGTCACGCTTCTCGTTCGCCCCTATTAACCTTCCCGTCGCTCTCTAGTTCTCAACCCTCCCATCGCCCACCTCCCTGCCCTCACGATCGCCTCATGCTACTGCTAGAAAAAAAGGGTGATTAATACATTCCCGTCGACCTCCCATCGCCCTCCCGTCGCCCTACCGTCGCCCTCCCGTCGCCCTCCCGTCGCCCTACTGTCGCCCTCCCGTCGCCCTACTGTCGCCCTCCCGTCGCCCTCCTGTCGCCCTCTCGTCGCCCTCCCGTCGCGCTTCCGGTCCTTCCCGTCACCCTCCCGTCTCGCTTTCCGCGCCTTCCCGTCGCCCTCCCGTCGCGCTTTCGGCGCCTTTACCTCGCCCTCTCGTCTCCATTTCGGCGTCTTCCCGTCGCCTTCCCGTCGCCCTTCCGTCGCCCTTCTGTCGCCCTCCCCTCGCCATCCTGTCGCGCTTCCGGTGCCTTCCTGACGCCCCGCCATCTCCCATCCCTTTCCATCAACCTCCCCTCGCCCTCGCCATCTCGTCCCATCCCTTTCCCCTCGCCCTCGCCCTCACCCTCCCTTTCCTACTCGTCGCCCTCCGTTCCGATCGCATCCCGTTTGCCCTCACAAATTTCCCCTTCTTTCCCTTCCGCATCGAGTTCCCTGCCCATAAGGAAATTGCCTGACATAATATCACTTTCCTATTTGTCGCGATCGCTGCCTTTCTTCCATTCCCGTCGCATCACTATCTCCTCTCCCCTACCGATCTCCCTTCCTCATGATCCAACCTCTCATTCCTGGTTTCCTCCCCCACTCCCTCGCCTACGCCCTCGCTATCTCCACTTCCCGTCGCCCTTTCGTCGCCTTCGCAGTCTCCGCTTCCTTGCCCTCTCGTCGCCTTTGATGTTTCCGCTTCCCGTCCGCCAGCGTTATCACCCCCCTTCCTTCCCAGAGCCCTCGCTGTCCCCGCTACCCTCATCCCTTCCTTTCCCGTCTCCCTCCCTACCCTCACGCCAACAACTCCGTCGACAGGGCACTATTCCTAACTTTGATCGCCGCTATTTCACTCCGTTCGTAACCATGTTCATCATCCTCTTGGGCGTCACGCTTTCTTGTTTTTCTCTCTATCCCTCCTTGTTGCCCCTCCGTCAGGCCCCAAGTCCAAGGCACCACAATTTCATCAGCTTCTCACCATGTCTACGCTCTTCCACTTTCATCTCGTAGATGTTTCTGCTTGGAACTTTGCCTGTAGTGTTGATAGATGTGGTTTTGGTGAAGTTGCAGCGCCTGTGAGATCAACATTGCACGTTGCTCATCCTTGCGCCAAAATCGCGCATGTACATTTGGGCGAAACTAGCTGCCAATCAGACATGAGGAAGAACTGCTCTTGTTCCTGGTTCATTTCGCAACTCGTTCGGAGGTGGGAAAAAAAATCTCACCACACTTCCAACTTCCCAAAATATTACAAAGACTAGAGACTTCAAGTTGGGCCCAACTAGAAGGGGGGGGGGGTCATTATTTTAGCTGCTGGCTTTAAGGGTGCGTTACTCTAGGAATGTTATTCAACAATTTCATATCGTAGCACTCCCCTTCCTTCCTGGAGAAACGAAGTCTTGACGCGTTTGGTTAAGCCGCAGATACTTTCGTCGTGGTGGTACTGCTGGCGTGGCAACTTCTTGCCAGCAGCCATGTCATCAGTGGGGCAGTAAGTCAAGATGACTTTGCCTTTGTCAACTTCGTCTTTGACGAAGAAGTAGCGGAGTGCGATGTGCTTGGGGCGGTTGACGAAGTCGGGTTTGTTCGTCGTCTTTATGACCCACTTGCCCGAAAGGACACGTCTCCCCTTCAGCGCGGTCCAGCCAGCAAGGACCCATGTTTCGCGGGCTTCAAAGGCGGCGACTCTGGCGTCCATGGCAGCGCGCCATTTCTTGCTGTAGGGGCCGGTGAGGGCTTGGCGCGAGGTTTTGGGTTCAACTGCCTTTGGTGGGCGAGAGACAGCGGTGTGTAGGCCGAGGATGTGGAGGGCTGAAAAGCCGAGGATGTGCCGCTGATCGCTAGTGTCTTCCACCACCTCATCGTCCGAGTCGTGTCTGCTGGATGGGGTGGGGCTGAGGAGAGAGTCATGCGAAGAATCAAGGGGAGCGCTATCTTCATCCTCATCCTTGTCGTTCCATGGGCGTGGGCTGGGATGTGGGTCCGTGGGGTCTTGGTCCGCGAGAGCTGCTTCTGCTTCATCGGCGGGAGTGGCGAAGCTGCGGGGTGGTTGCTCGTAATTGGCGACGTTCGTTCCCATGGTGCGGTCAGCGTGGCGATTACAGTGGAACTGGCGGATGGTGAGGTATTCGTAGAAGATGACGCCACGCGCCGCGACCACCTGAGAGGTGTTATGGTCAAGAATGTTCCAGGCATGGTGCTCGAAGCTAATGCCAAGGTGCACTCCCCAGCGTGCGCGGCGCTTGAACTTACCCGTGGTTGCCGCTGTGGGCCGATACTGCACCATACAGCCCTAGACGCGGAGCATGGAGATGTCGCCTTTGTCGCTGGTGAACTTGAGATGCGGCGAGAGATTGTCAGTGTTGGCGGTGGTGCTGAGTAGATTATGAAGTCGGACAGCGTAATGCATGGCGTAGGGCCAGTACTCCGCGTCAACGTCGCACTGCTGCAGGACGTCGCACACCTTGGTCATGAGTGTGCGCCAGACTTTGAAAATTTCGAACGCCTTGCTCCTGTGAGAAACGTTGGCCACCCAGACGAAGCGGAAGTAAGCGTAACGAAGGTAAGTGTGAATTTTTCGTCGTTGATGCCGATTTGTATGAGAACAAGAAAGTCACTGTAGACTTTTTGGAGCTTTTCATAGCGGTTGGTGCTGGGCTCGAGAAGTTTGAAGGGTTTGTGGTTCAGTGCGGCTTCAGGGCAGATCGTGCAGTTTGTGCGACGAGTGTTGTCACAAGGAACAGGGGTCCCATCAGGGCGGAGCAGAGTTCCAGGGATGAAAACTTGACCTCGAATGCAGTTGTTGAGAACCTCCTGTGAGGGGTGACCGAGGTGCCTGTGCCAGAGGTCAGGAGGTGCGCGAATGGCAAGTGAGCATGAGTAGAAGGCTAGCAGTTCGACGGTGTTGGTGGGTGGAGGCTGTGGGATGGGCTGTGGTGAAATGGAGAGACCAAGAGCGAGAATGAGATCACGAGCTGTAAGTTGTGGGGCTGGTTCAATTGTGGTGATGGCAGCAAGCGGTGCTGTGATGTCATCTTTGTCTACCGTTCCTTCTGGAAGGTTAGGCCGAGGAACGTGGTGTGGAGGGAGGCCGTGTATGGTGGAGGGACCAGCAGTTGTTGTGTCATGGGGACCGATGGGCGTAGATTTCGTGGGCAGTGGGCTATGATGGTAGCGGCGGTATGGGAGAATGGTGTCGTGGTCATAGGGGGTTCAGAGGATTTGGAGGAGGCCCAGGAGTCACTGGATGGTGAGTTACCTGAGGGAGGGATGCTAATGGGTCGTAAGGACCCATAGGGTCCTGCTACTTCTCCAGCTGCCTCCTTCTCAGCTCGTGCTAAGCCTTCTTCAATTGGCCCTTCTTCCTCCTCTGCTAGTGGAGTTCCCCATTTCCTGCTCCCCAGCTTGCTGTTGGTGCCGCTGCTCCCCGCCCTGTTGCATCGTCGGTACCCCCCGGCCACCTTTGGCAGCTACTGCTGCTGCCTGCGCTTCAGCTTCTGCGCGTCGGCGATTTTCTTCTTCCTCGAGGTGTTGAAGCTCCTCAGAGTTCATGTTGTGGCTGGACCAGGGGTGAGTGACGTGGTACGTCTCCCAATCCAGGGGCAAAGGGTTGTTGTTTGAATCAAATGCACCAGGTCTGGTGTAGCGTGTGAGGAGGTGGATGCGATCGCGGACGGTGGGGTCAGCCCAATTTCTGCATGGTTGAAAGATGGTGAGGGCGGCAGCAAGCTCAGCATCTCTTATGCCGGATGGGTGGGGGGTCTGCCACTCCGCTTCTTCAATGATGTCCAAGCCAGCAGGTTGTATGGTTGGATCTTCCTCCTGAGATGATTCTGCTTCCCCAGGGGATTCTTCATTGTCGCTGATTTTTCCTTTCCCTTTTTCTTTTGTCGTTGCTCTGCGCCTTTCTGCTGCAGCTGATGTTTCACCTTCGTCAGCTGGCGCCTTGCCTTTCTCGTCAGCCGGCGCTTTCCCGATTTCAGTTTTCTTCTCTGTTGTGGAAGCAATTGGCGTGCGGATGTTGCGGCAGAGACCATCCGGGCCGGGTGCATGAAGATCAATTTCCTTGGGATGAGCGTGATGCTTGATCCAGGGGCGCCCATCAGGGTGAGCGAGCTCATGAGGCCACACGGCTTCTTGTGGCTGGAGATCGATGAGATCTCCAGAGTCTACGCGGCAATCTGGGATGTCAAAGTCCAGAATGTAGATGCCGTTGTCGGGGTGCGCCTTGCCGATGTAGCCCGGCTCGTGATTGGGGCGGCTGTAATCCTTCCAGTGCATTAGGATGCAGCGACTTTTGGGGTATGTAGTCATGAGGACGCCGATGTTGACGAGCTGTTCGTAGGACAAAAGATTGTACTTTGATTCCTACACGATGAGGGCGTCGTTGAGCGTGATGTGAATGTCGCGGTTGTGTGCTTTGAGAACGGCGAGGCCGCATGCTCGTGCTTCAAGCCGTTGATTGTTGGCCACTGTGACGACAGTAGGTTGCGGGATGGTTCGGTGTTGGAGATGAAGCGCTTGGATCCCACCATGTGTTGCCCGCAGCAGCTGTCAAGGGACCACGTGTTGTAGGAGTCGGCGCGATGTTGTGCCGAGAGCGCGAGGTTTGGAGTGTTGCGGAAAGGGCTGCGTTTGTCGCTAGCAGCGCGGTAGTTGTCGACAGGGCGAGTGTCAGTGTAGTGTCCAAAGTAGTAGTTGGTGATTGATGGCGAGTTGAGAAAATATTTGTCTTGTGGTGGCGATTCGAACAAAGGTGTTGGTAGGTCCGATTCTTGCTCGTGTTCGTCAGAGACGAACTCTTCGTCCTGTGTGAAGGGGTTGTTGCAGCCAGTGAATTTAACTTCTTGTCCAGGCGGAGGAGGAGAGACGTATCGGAGATGCCTCCGATTGGTGCGCCGAGTGCTGCGGTGAACGCGCACCGCCTTGTTGCCCATGACATAGCGAATGGAGTTGTTGGAGTGTTGCGGCGGCCTCTATGGATCAGGCTGAGGTGGTTGGCGTGGGGCAAACCGATAGTCCGGTCGGTTTGCCTGGCACGAGTGATCGGGGCCGTGAGTTGCGTTGTTGCGCGGCGCGAAGTCGTGTCGAGGTCCGGATCGGCATTGTTCTGTGGAGTGGCCGAAGATCTTGCATTTTTTGCGGTGGTATTGGCGTGGGCGTGGATCGCGATTTCATTGTTGATCGCGATTGGAGTAGAAGGCGATTTGCTCGCGGTGCGCCCCTTTTTCTTGGTTGAAGTCCATGTCTTGCTGCTCGTGCAGCAGGGTGGCG